AGTTCATGTTCATGTTCATTTTCATGTTCATGTTCATGTTCATGTAGCAGTTTAGATGGACACTAGGTTTTTCTTAAAATTTTAACAAGCATTAAGTCAGTTCCAGGCATGGGCGTAGCCAGGTAGGGGCGGGGGGGTGCTCGAGACCTCCCCCCCCTAACTTTCAAATTTTCCTTATATATATATAAAATAGTACCCTGAAAAGCCCCCCTAAATTTCATTCTGGCTACGCCGATGGTTCCAGGTATTTCAGGATTTCCAGGTTTTACAGGTAAAGCGGTTTTCGCCATTAATAAACCTTATGGAAGGTGGCGTACGTTAACAGCTTCCTGTAAAAACCTGCAAATCATGAAGTACCTGTAACATACTTATTAAAAAAGAGAAACATCGGAAAATATCGATGTATCGATAGTTTTGGGGCGATTTTTTTCGGCATCGATGTTAGTGTTTACGATACATCGAAATATCGATGTATCGATGTTGGCTTTAAAAATTTGCATCCCTACTCAACTGAGCTCTTGGTGCTTCTTAGTGCTCCTACTCATATCGGTATCAAGGTTTATATATAAGAGGTTGCGCAATGCGCAGGTCCGTTATTCTTTTCTCGCAAATTTGGGCGACAACAACAGCAAACACAACAAGCAGCAGAAACAACAAGCAGCGTAAAAAAACATAAAAATGAAGTGTAGCAATTTCAAACCAATTATAATCGATAGCTTATCCAAAAATACATTTACAGTTAATTTTAACCAAATTTTTACTCATGCCTGTATGTCGAAAAAGCCACAAAATCGGATTTTTCATTGCAGAAAATTTTTGCGAAATTTTCATTTAAACTCGCTATATCTCAGACGTTTGTGTATCGATTGATTTGCAATTCGTACACAATAAACTAGATTCTATTCTAAAGAAGATGAGTCCGACTGAACTTCTTAATATTTATTTAAAAAAATGGCAAATATTTTAACACTTTTATAAAAATTAAGGAGGTGGTTTTTACAAATGCAAAAGTTGTGCTATGAAGTTTAAAATTTTTGTTTTGTTTTAATGCAGCATTAAAGGCAAATATATACGAACATTTTTGGGAAAGTCTCAGGGTTAGACAACAAGTAGTTCTAAAGTTATAACAATATTATGATGACACCCACGAGCGGTCGCTCGCCTCTAGATGACAAATATTTTTACTGGGCACTTGTACAAGTAATTTTGGAAGTAACATTAAGTGAAATTTTGAAATGCATGAATTTATCAGTGTTATATAACTATTACTAAACTTAATATACATACTTAGATACATAAATACATACATAGTAAATATGCACGTAA